TCCGATCTCTCCAACTTTTCTTTTTCTTCGGAGTGCCATCATTTTTGCAAACAGCAATAAGTCCCTGTGTTTTAATCTTCTCCTCTGCGAGCTTGATGTGAAGGATCTTGTTTTCGTCTTGAAGCCGGTTCACCTCCGCTTGGAGGTTGTTGACTCGTTCCGCTCGTTCATTGAAATGATCATGGAGATACTGGCTAGAACGAGATGAGGCTGCCATCCAGTGTCAGGATGTGGTTGTCAGTGTAGTGTCGAGCACGAAGATCGAATACGGGAGCAGGAGGCGTGAAATATAGGCGACGAGCCACATTAAGTCGGGGGGCGGTGAACTGGAATGCAGTTGCGTGGAACCTCTTGCTGCCATTGGCTGTGAGCTAATATAGAAGATCAGAACGAGGCTTACCATCGAGGCCACGGTTTCAAGGATGTGGAGAGCTGCAATCGCAATGAGTATCTCGAGCTATACATTTGGTGACTTGGTAAATCCATCGGAACTATGTGGTAGGTCACCGTTAGTGTTGTGCGTTCAGGTCACTCAGATCGCCGCTGTAGCGCTGGCAAGATCTTTCAGTGGAGAGTTTGGAACAGCAAGGATGTCGACGCTGACCGAACATGGTGACCGTGAAAGAACGCGCAGGTACATGAAAAGGACAGATGGTTCGAACCGAATCGACGATTTCATTGAGTAGTGCCGGAATGCAGCTAGTGCATATATGGTGACGAGTCGACTTTCTTGGGTGTTTCCTTTGTATGTTACGGGGTTCGTTTGTTTTGTTTTGCTTGTCGTCGAGAATGGTCCAGCTGTGGCGAGATCCGTCTCGGACAGAACACGTTCAATGTGCTTTCGCTAGGCCCAGCTTCCGTATTCCATCCAGCCCGTGTATGCAGTGTTGAGCCTTCTGGAGGATAACCCCCATGCCGATCAACTCGTCATATACCCGCTCAACCAGTGCCTATGGTGGCTTCTTACCAAGCCTATAGCCAGAAAGCGAGCCAAGCAACATCTCATCTCACTTCAACTTCCCCCCTATGAAGGCATGAATGAGTTGACCAAACCCATCGCTTCTTGAGACATGTCTCTCTAAAGGGCTGTATAACTTGCTGCACAGTTGTCTCAAGTACTATTGCAAGCATGTCGGTCGAACTGCTCGTCAAAGTGCTGAAGAATCTGTGCACGGCGGCAGTCTGTCTCGTTCAGAGCAAAATGGATGACCTGCTCAACTTCATGTAATTGACGTTGTTGATCTTCTTCCCTCAGGCTGGGCTTGTCTTGTATACTTGAGACAAGGAATGCGCAATCTTTTTCAGCTTGAGGACTGACAATGTTACCGGCGGGTATAAGCATAGTGGATCACCCAGAAACATTCAATATGATGTATCCTAGTCCTGTACCACACCCCCCATACTACATGTGCACCTGCTCCCCCATTGGAAACATGGTTTTTCTGTTTCCACTGTCTACCAGTGGCTGTTCTTGTGTTTTAATAATGTTCAAACACATTTAAAATAAATTACCACAACAAGAATGGTGCCAAAAATGCGTAAATTGGTCCTCCTGTGATTATACTGTGGCCCAGCATGCTGTTTTACCCTCTCACTGCCCCACAATTGATGCAGAAGCATTTTGACCGATGTTGCACCGTAGATCGACTTCCCAAACATCAAACTATATGCCCCCATCATAATCTCAGCATTACTAAACAATATAACCAGCCTAATACGCCTGGGGTAGATGTTCTCCTCCTCCCCCCCTAGACACCGCACCACTATGAATGAGATGGTCGCTGTTTTTGGGCTCCAAGTGGTTTCCATAGTTAAATATTGATGTGTGTCTATCTGTGACAGCAAAAACCGAGTAAATTGAACTGTCGTATCCAGAGTTCTAGCCTACCGACCCCCTGTGACCTTACTGTGGCAATATCTTTCTAACCATTTATGCCATAACTTTGGAACAAATGGACCGATTCCTTCAAAAATTGATTTTCATCATCCTACACATTTATAAATGTTCGTAAAATAGCCAGAACCCCCAAAATCGGGCTCCTTCATCTCCGCGAAATCACATCACCGATTAATGTTTTATACGCTGATTCCATTGAAACGACACCCAGCAATGTGATTCATTCGTTCTAAATCAAAAAAACTCGCAAAGTTACCAAAACACCCCCAAAACATCCCCTAACCCCCTAACGAACCAGAAACCAGCACCTGCTAGGCCTACCCTAGCATCCCTACTATTATTTTCCTATTTTCCCCGATTTTTATCGCACCTGATACTACCCCAATACACCCAGTATCGTTTCCAGTACCCAAAATCCAGCCAAAACCCATCCAATTCATGTATACAGCGCCCTACCAGCCTGCTAACCATCTACCCCCACCCCCTACCCATTTTCCTACCCCCTATCCAGCACCCCAGCACCCCATCCCCGCTCTAGCAACCCCTACTAGGCAAGAGGTGCGCAGAGTAAAAATCCCGCACATCTGAAGGTCCTCGCTTAGCTGTCTGAATTAGGCAGGAGGGAGGGGGAGGGGGTGTGACGTCATGTAGAATGAACAAGTTTCGTGCGCTAAAAGAACCCGTCGCGGGTTAGAACTCAGACCTGGCACAAAACGGGCAAAGTCTATATATTCACCTAAAAGAACCCGTCGCGGGTTAGAACTAACAGTAAAGTAAGTAAAGACTTGAAACGGACTATCGTAAGGTATACGGCTCACCTCAGACCTGGCACGAAATGGGCAAAGTCTGAGGTGCACGATATGAGGGTGCGCGAGTATAAGTAAGTAGCGTACTATGAACGTGCAGAGCAAACCACATGCTAAGTAGACAAATACCTACGAACGTGAAGTCTACAGAGGAGAGACAAATGAAATAGTTAAACTGAACATGGGCCCGACAAGCGAGCGATACCGACGGTAAACCTAATCAGGTAAGTACGAATGACAACAGTAGAGAGCCGAGAATGTAAACGTGCGTGCTACGAAGCGCGGCTTGTGATTCGAACACTCCCCCTCAAGCCGTGCGTAGTCCAAGAGCAAGAGCAAAATGCTTAACTTTAGCAGAAGGAAGAGCTTTCGTAAGAGAGTCAGCGACCATATCTTCAGTGGGACAAAATACCAAACAAATCTTCCCCTCCTCGATGATCCAGCGAATGAAATGGAAGCGCACGTCAATGTGCTTTGTGCGAGGATGGTACTGATGGTCTTGCGTGAGCGCAATGGCGGATTGGTTGTCGGAAAAGAGAGTCGTGGGCGTCGTGAGAGGACCAAAGATTTCGCCGATGAGGCTGCGGAGCCAAAGTGCCTCTTTTGCGGCGTGCGTGGCGGCCACGTACTTGCTCTCGGTTGTCGAGAGTGAGATGATCTCCTGCTTCTTTCAGCTCCACGAAACGGCGCCGTCGTCAATCAAGAAGGCATACCCAGAAATCGCATGGTGATCCTCGCTCATGCTGCCATCCGCATCCGCATACCCGACCATACCCTTCTCCTCCACCAGTACATGTAGCATCATTATAATTCTACCTGCTAGTAAGAAGGAGTTCCTTTACAATGATTCCCCAGGAAAATAATAATAAATGCCAGTACTGGGCTGGCTATTGGGGCGGCCGGGGGGTGGTTCTGGGTGGCAGGGTGGGCCAGGGTGATGGGGTAGGGCGTACAGGGGTGGTCCTGGGGGTATCGGAGTACTGACAGAGTCTACTTCTGCGAGGCCGAACTGTGAGATTATCCGATCAATGAGAGCTGTTTGCGAAATGCGAACTAGGCGGTTGGGTGGGTCATGGAATATAGCGATACCGAGGGCAAATCGAGGGATACCGAGTGCTGAGATTCTCCAGACAGACTCGAGTCCAGATTGGAATCGATTTCCTTCACGATCATCGCTGTGAGCCAATATCATGTCGTCGACGTGTACGGCCACAGCAGTCATCCCATCAGCATCCTGCCGAACGTATACGCACCATTCGCATGAAAGGTGAATAAATCCCCATGATACCATCTGCGCGTTCAGCGTCTGATTCCAAATCCTCCCGCTCTGCTTCATCCCATACAATCCTCGCTGCAACTCCCACAACTAATCTTCCTTCCCTTCCTCGATGAACGGTTTAGGTGGCTGAACAATCTGTTTCTCCTCCTCCGGAAGTCGCCCATACAGAAACGCGGTCTTGACATCGAACTGGCGCATAGGGAGACCACACTGAGCAGCCCAATGTAAGATAATCCGGAAGGATTCGAGTCGAGTAGTCGGCGATGTGGTTTTGGAGTAGTCCCGGCCATATATCTGTTCGAAACCCTTAACCACGCATTGTACCTTTCGGCGTACCACCTCTCCGACCTCATTACGCTTCCGAGTGCATATGAGCCGACATTTGAGAGGTTTGCGACCTGGTTGGATGTCCGACGGAGGAACCATGCGAAATACCCCAATCCCGATCAACGACTTCAACTCATCCATAGCCCCTTCCCTAAAATCCTCGGCGTCCTCTCCCGCCATAGCCTTCGCCCAGTCCTTTGGATCTTCCGGAAATTCAACCTCAAATGGAATACCGGCATCCGCGTTATGAACGTCCATATATTCGGTTAATAGGGTGATAGCGGCGGTTGGCGATAGTTCTTGCGGAGCGGTCGGCATTTGAGTTCTCTTAGCGGCCCTAGACTCCTCCAGACGTGCTGCAGCAGCAGATGAATCGTCCAGGGCAGCCTGTAATTTGTTACCATGTTCAAGTCCGTCGTTGGTAGCCTCTCGCGAGATCTGGACATGAGTTCGAGCCTAGCGGCGCAAGGGTGGTGGTATGTATTTTTCGACAGGAGTGGTCTGCGTAGAGGTGGGTGGTGATGGAGCCGAAATGGAAGTACTGGTAGATGATTCAACGGCCGGTGGTGCCACAGTGACGGACGGTGCGACAATATCGTCCTCTGTATCAAGAGACGTAGCAGTTCAGCTAGGTGGGTTCGAAGCGGGACTTGGAAGTTGAACGCTAGGCAGGAGGTTTCGAGGTACGGAGTCTTTTTGTTTGACAAAGACAACGTTGCGAGAGACAACGACTTTTCCAGACGATCGGCGCCACAGACGATAAGCCTTCGAGTTAGGTTCGTAGCCGACCAAGACACATTCGAAAGAACGCGGGTGAATCTTCGAGTTATTCGTCTCGACGAGTACGAAAGCCTTACAGCCGATTTCCCGCAAATGTCAGACATTCGGCCGTTTCCCCGTCCAGATTTCATATGGCGTCCTTGACTCATTCGCCGAAGTTGCGGTGAAGTTATGAAGGTAGTTGGCCGTCGTTGTAAATTTGTCCCACAAGCAATCGGGTGCACCGCAGGATATCTTCATAGTTCGGCCTTTATTGAATATCGTGAGGTGGCGACGTTCGCATCTTCCGTTTTGAGCGGAAGAGTATGGTGCCGTGAATTGGTGAACCATTCCATGCGATGCGCACCAGTCCTTTATCGCAGTCGACTTCAACTCTCCGTTGTCCATCACGTACGTTCCAACCATCTCGCCCGTCTCAGCCTTCATCCGCGTCTCCCATATTTTGAGCTTCTCAAACGCCTCATCCTTCGTTCTCAATGGAATGTGCCATCCCATCGACGTGAAGTCGTCAACCATATTCATTCCATATCGATTCCCACTCCTAGACACTACTGATACAGGACCAGTCAAGTCAATATGAACTTTCTCCAACCGCCTAGTAGCCTTCAATCCCTCTCGAATTTTCGGAATAGAATTCCTAACCTGTTTGCCCAAAATGCATGATTCACATTTGGCAGGCATTCGAGAGAGATCAAGAGGCATACCTTGAACGGCGCCGGATCTGGACATATCGATGACAGTCTTGTAGTTCGCATGGCCGAATCGCTGGTGCCAGGTATCGATGTCGCAAGCGGCGGAAGATAGATAGGCGGCGTAGTTATGGCTGGTAGATATATCGGTTGTCGAGAGGGCGTACAGGTCGCGAGAGGTAACGTAGCCTTGCGCCACAGTGGCACCACTCGCGTTCGTAATCCAGCAGCGCGACGAGTCGAAATGGCTGGTGTTGGATTCATTACGATTGATGGGGAGAATGGAGAGGAGTCGAAGGGGTGCAGATGGGACACAGAGTACATCGTTGATATTGAGGTGGCGTCCTTTTCCTAAGACAAGATGAACCGTTCCAACGGCAATAGTGTTGACAGTTGTTCCTCCAACTCCACGGATAGGGCGAGGTGAGATGGGTGTAAGGGTGGCGAAGTCCATACGCTCGCCTGAGATTGATACGTTCACTCCTGAGTCCAGTAGGAACGGGTATTCCGCATGAGAAAGGGGGGCACATCCATCCTTAACGTCCGTACGAACGATGACATTGGCTACTTCGACGTTTTGGCAGTACATGGACCAGTCGACGCTCGTACGTGGGTCGTCTGCGATAGCAACCCCACCAAAGAGTTCCCATTTATCTCCTGGGGTAATGAGCGATGAGAGGGGGTCCGAAGTTAAACCAGAGTTGGAAGGAATAGTTGTCGGTTGATCAACTGCGATGTGGCCCGTGAATGGATTCTTCGTCGGTAATATAGGAACTAGAGATGGAGTGGGCGGCTGCGTCGGGTGATTCGCCGGGGTAGATGGATAGAATAGGTGTCCTTTGATCGCATAACACGTGTTCCCGTTCCCGTCCTTGAGAGCTTGAAAGGCGACTTTCTTCGAAGATGACACATTAGACATGTTCGAGTTCCGACCTCTCCCTGTCTTCCCTTCCTTAATCGCCTTCTTCGCCACTCTCGCCTCATCTAACGAACATCCCGCCATCCTCCCCCCGACCTTGATGCATGTCTCTATTGGGTGGCCCGTTTCGCCACAGTCCTTGTTCGCCCAGACTTCGACACTGCGAGCGTTCTTCTGGAAAGGATTCGTAGAGTTCTTTGTCGCAGTTAGGACGGTTGGCGTGGATAGTGAGGATGTGATGGACATCTGTTCAGCGGCGAGTCGATTGGAGATGTATTCGAGCGTAAGTGAACCATTCGTCAAGAGCGTCATGAACTGGCTGGTGAGATCAGGGAATTCGGCACAAAGAGTGTTGATTGATGCTATAAGGAGTATGGATTCTTTGGTGGGTGGGCCTCCGTCCCAAATACGGTCGTTCAGGTCGGTCATCGCTGTAACTGTATCGGCGAGAGGAGTCAAACGCGAAAAACTGATGCCGAGTAACTCCGTGAGTAAGAGAACCTGCGCCTGAGGGCCACAATTAAGGTGGCGGTTACGAAGGAGCGTGACAGCCTCTTTAGAAGTGAAGCAATCCTTGATGATGGTGTGTTCCGTCGCGTCAATCTTCTGCCTGATGAAGGAGAGTATCCCGCCGTTGTTATCGCGGTAGGCATTCAGTGCGCGTGGTTCGAGAGTAGCGTCAGGAATCGGTTTACGTCCGTCCGTATATCCCGTCATCGCCGAAATCCCAAGAGCAATATCAAGCTGCTCGATCCACTTCCCCCAATTTATTCGAAGGCTGATGTCCACCTATCTCCACGTGGCCGTCGTCATCGGCGGTGTTGTTGATGTTGTGGCAATGTTCGAGTTCTGCTGTTACTATCAAACCAAGGTACACCACACTGAGACGCCGAGAAATAATGCGAGAGCGGAATTGCGGAATAAAAGCTCACATTCAGTAAAGCTAGGGCAAGATTCAGGCTTTAGTAATCTTCAACCCGTTTGCCACCCTGTTTGTCTCCTAAAATGGCTGAAGAAACATCTCTCGCGCCTTTCTAACGGTCGCGAGACCAATTGCCACTTCGGGATTTCCTGATTCGATGGTGCTTGCACCAGTGGGAGATAATGTTTTGTCGTTGCGAGGCATTATCTGGCATTAGACCTATGAAGGGGATTCACCACCATCGACCTATATAGCCCGCACGTTCTGGACAAAATGTGGTCTCAATCCTGGTGTCGTGTTGTCTCTTGGTGTCCATAGATCATGGTTTTGGCCTTGTGATGTCTCCGTGTTTCACAGTAAGTACTCGAGTACCTTGCCTGAGGGGTTTCCTTGTTATGCATCCCGCCACAGTGTTGTAGCAGTCATCTCTAGATGTGACGCTCAGAAATTGATGTTCTGTGAACATCAATATTAGAAAGGAGCTCAGTGTCACGGGACCCCATTTCCAATAGCCAACTGGGCCTCATTCGCTGAACACCTGAAGGGTGATTGGACTTGGGGGGCAAATGAACCACTGGCGACGATGCCACATGCATCGCTGTCTGGCTCCTTGTTCCGGCCACAGCTGGGCCACACCATGGTGGATGCTCCGGCTTGCCTGTGGCGATGCCTTGGTTCTTTTGTGGACCTTGTGCTGGAGCTCTGACCCTGAAGCTGCAATCATTCAGTTGGCCTCGGCGGTGAGTGACCCGCAAGACCTCCGTGGAGGTTTCGCCAACTATGACAGCAATGAACATATCCATTCACCCTGTGAAGCACGGGCTTCCGCTGGTCACATAGATTAGCGATGAATCCATTCCTCGGCGATGTCCATAAATGTCCCACTCATTATGGGTGCCAGGTTTGTTTGGTGCTTATGCTCGTGCTCGTGCTCGGGCTATGCAAGCCAAACTTTTCCATCCGGGCCAGAGTGATCAGACGTTAGCCATACTCAGCATGCTCCTCCCACCCCTTTGGGCAGCATTCGAGATTATGTCTCCAAGGATGGTAGCAACACCTACGCTACCCCCGACTTGTGACGAGCTTGACCTGGAAGATTTTGCGAGAGATGTCAGTGGTGGAGCTGATGAAGACTGCTGTGGAGAGGTCGAAAGAGGCTGAAGATATTAGGTCGGAGGTAGAGGTGAGCTGTTCATCCTTTGACTCATTATATTGCCGTTATCATACTTTACTCGTCGTCGTTGCCCAGGTGCTATCCGAGGTCAATCACATTCTCTGAGAAATCCCGTTATAAAAGATGTTTTGCGAGTGGTGGACAGTTTTCTTGCTATCATTGGCGCCCTTTAAGCGCTGCACACGTGCAGGCGGGATCCTGTGGCTGAGCCAGAGGAACAGGGCATGGAAGAGATGATGGAGGGTGCACAATTGGTGTTTTCTATTGTGTCAGAGGCGATGTGGGAGTATGAGGAGCATGTTAGATATCTCCAGGTGAGTTCTACAGTCCCCAACATTGTGTCGTTTGCAGGCATGTGTAGCGTGTCAGAACACATCAGTGCCCAGTATGAGTACTCGTAGACGCTCAGTAAGAGCTTTGGTGTAGCTCTCTGAGCTCGCATTATCCAGAGTGTATGCATTCACATAATAGGTATATGCACTCTCGGTTCAAGGTCTCGCTAAAGTGTATATCTATGCCACAGTATACGGCACCACACGTCACTCTTCTCTTCTTCTCTCATCCTCTCTGATAAATCACTGATACCCCATTGTCTGCCTCTCTCACTTGCACAGCGACATATAGGATACGACTCACTCGCCACCTTGTTATCGGACTCCGCACCTCCGTCTCTGACCGGGCTCGCGGCCTGATCCTCTCTCTAGCCCTACACGACTTCTCCTTCGTCGCCCTATTCTCATCCATTCGCTCTTCTCTCACACCCACCTCCTCCTCGAAGCAAAATAAGATTCTTGATGCAGAGTCGTACACAAAACTCGACGCGCACATCACCCCATTCTTGTTCATCACTCCCTCCACCACCGCCACTGTATCTTCATCATCATCCTTCATTTTCTTCCCCTTCTCACATCCACCATTACAACTGCAAAATTTTCACCTTCTCCCCAGCCTTAACCATGTACACTCCGTAGAGCCCTCCCGCCAGGTCTCTTACATCTCCATTCGACCCTTCTGCCATATACAATAGAGAGCGTGAAATCCGCGAGAATCTAAACTCGGAGATTGGAGCGAAACTCGATTGAGTTTCGCTCCACGGGCACGAGCGCTCACCACTGAGTTTGGAGTCTCAACCGTTCCAGTCTCGGCTTTTGAGTTTCGATTTTGGGCGATTTCACGCTCTCTAATTGACCCTCTCCTGCACTTCACATATTGAAATGACTCGTGAGAACGAGTCCTCGAAGTCACGTTCAGATGAGTACTGGGGTCAAGGATGGATCAGCTACTGAGGTATCTTGAACGGGGATGGGTAAGGACTTTGGTTGCGGAGAGACAACTGCCCAACCAGCATCGGAATGTCATGCAGAGGTGGCTGATGAGGCTGTTGGAGATGAGCACAAGGACGGAGGAGATAAGGGGAAGTTCTCAAGGTGATGCTGTTCTGAAGAAGGATGTGTCACATCCGCCAACTGGGAAGCCGAGCGAGGATAGGAGAAAGAGTGCTGACAGGGTAGATAACACGGAAAGTGGGGAAACCGATGGGAAAGTTGATGGCAGAAAGACGGAGTATGGATTCGGGAAGTTTTGAGGACGGGGATGAAGACGCGCTGGCTGGAACATTTTTTGATGAAGGGATGGGCGGCGGTCAAGTGTGGCCAATAATGGATTTACTTTCACGGAGAGTCTCTTCGTTCCAACTTCAATGAAATAAGACATTGAAGATTTCTGATCACTGAATCCTCTGTGATAATTCCATTTGGATTTGGCTCCGCCTCAAGTCCCTACTCAACCACAGGTCTCTTCACGTTCTACCTCCCGCTTATACTGTCTTCAAATTATCGCTGCGTCCAGATGGAAGGGTCGATGTTTGGAGTTCAGAGGGAAATACTGAATATACAACGACTGCGAGTATCGCAAAGGGGAAATCGATACATGTGACGGATCCCTCTGTGCAAGGAGTAAGACCAAGCATTCGTACGTACTTTCAGTTTCCTCTCTTCACTCCGTCTTGGTCAGTTTGTATGAGAGTGGATATCTGTTTAATCATTGCTGTAATGACTCCACTATAGGCATATTTGTTGACGGAACACTGGAGACCGTGCATCGGCCTTACCCATGAGCAGACTTTTTCTTGCGACTTGGGGTGTATACGATCGGTGACGCAGCCAATGCCCATGCTACATCTTTCAATCCCGCATCAATTTGACATATTCTTCACATCTCTGAACAGTGTATGTGGTCTCCGTCTGGATAAGCCATCATCTACCGCGGTTTATACAACACCTTCCTGCATGTTACACCTGCACAGAAGCTCTTTCACTTGTGGCGGGCCACAAGCACAGGCGCTCTCGCGCCAGAACTCGTATGTGTCCCAGGCACCATAGAGCCCATCTATGTCTTACGCATCACAGGCTATTGCAAGACATGGGGGAGTTACAAATATTGCAGGGTCGGCGGCGGAGGCGGCGGCGTTGTTGAGGGCTATTGATAAGAGTATTGGGATCACGGACAATACGATCATGTTTTCGATCACGCTTGGCATGTTTCCGATGTGGAAGGGAAATGTGTCTTGCGGACGGGGTAGGGAATACGGTCGATACGTTCCAGGTAGCTTGCAGCCGAGGCCTGTAGAAACAGAGTATATGAGCAATAAAATGTATAGAATCGAAACTGACCTTGATTGACAACCGAAAAGGAAGCCTAAGAAAGAGTCGAGAGATCGAGAGGAACACCGTTAAACGCTAAGTCGCGGATGTGGCTGAAGCCTGGAGTTGCCGAAGGATGCGTTCCCAGGTGTCGTTTCTGCGGAGCGATGGCGGTCTCGACGAGGAAGGAGGGTGCGAATCAGGAGACTTTTGTAATAGGAAGGGGAGAGATGAGAGAGGAGGAGAGATGTTATTGAAGGCGCTAAGAGATTGAGAGAGAAAATACACGGAAACTCGGTTAAGTCAACTCGGACTCGGACTCAGTGAGAGAGGGATCAACTCGGGGGGGTTCTCTGGCATTCGAAAGGCCGCCAGGGAGCCTGTTTAAGCGACAGAGGCTGCTTCCCGGTCCGCTGCACATCCTCGTACGCCGCCGGACAAGCTACAGGCTGAGCACATGAATAGGAACGAAAATATGGAAGTCAATGTCACTAAATAATGACCGGGAGATGGAAATGCCAAACGATCCCGTATCGTAGTAAAATAAAATGTTCCATGGTTAGAAATTGAAGGGTATTGTACCTTCGAGATAGAGAATCGAAACGCGCAAAGAAAAACCGAGACACAGCTATTTACGAACGCGAGCGAGGGGAACAAGTCTCCTCTGGCCCGCAACACAGGGAGGCAAGGTTCCGGTCGTCAATCCGGCCGCCAGACTCGCCCGCCAGGCCACGACGCTGTCTTCGATCAATCCTGCGGATCCAAGACTCCATCAGAAGGCTGAAACAAGAGGGGAAGAGTGGTAGAAGCACAATGTATAGATAAACTGAGCTGCCCAGGCCCTGGAATGTGAAATAGGCGAAATATAATCAAAAATGGACTCAACCATTGCTTGAACATCTCGAAAAACTCGAACACATTATTATGAAGCCTTCAGACTCGAAAGAATGAGTAAAAGCGGGCGGAAAACCGAGAGATAATAGCGACCAAGCGAGAGTGAGACAGTCCGTGGCCGCTCGGCTAATCTGTTCCTAGTAACCGGCACTTTGGCTTGCCCAGCCAGACTCCGACCCTCCGACTTCGCCTTCGTCAAACGTCGCTTTGCTCGTTCGCTCTGGGCTCGGCGTCGAGCACGACATCTTGCATGATACTGACGTGACCTGGAATGCTCTAGAACAAAGTCTCTTGAGACGGTTAACAGTTCAAACGGAATTACAGAAGAAAAGCATTATTTTACATTCAGTGGCGAAGTTGTGTAAACTCCAACTTGGGAGTCTCGCGTACGAAAAGGATAGGTATGTACAAGATCTACATTATAGCTCCGTATCCTTCTCATATGGATGTGTACACGAGCAAGCTTGTGTGCACTTCCACACCGAACACCGATGTTATGAGTAGGAGTGGCGATGGTGAAGGCGCAGGTGAAGGTGCAGAGGAGGAAGAGAAGGATGGAGTGTGGCTCGATGAGGGGAATCAGATTGTGAAGGATGGGGAGGTGAGGCCGAGGTGTGTGGATCAGGCGATGTGGCAGGTTGGTGGGGCGAGTGTTGCACTGAGGTTGGTGCAGCTGGCTCAGGTACAATCCGTCCTTTTTTATATCTCTCCTTGTTGCTTATAACACACACGTGCTGGTCGGTTGATTGGTTTGTCTTCTGTGTGGGTAATTCTGGACGCCGCATGACCTATCAAGGACGCTGGAGTCTGCCACTAGAATGAATTCAGCATGCGAGTCCTCCTTATACACTCTGCAGCCCTCCCAGAAAGTCTTCGGCCTCCAACTGTCACGGCGGAAGATCGTCACTAAAGCAACATCGACGTGATTCGGGCCATTCACCATTCCTGGTAAGTAACAACGGTACAGACCCCTTAGGCGTGCACAGTGCGGGAAGGCTTTGGAACCTGACGAAGCAGTGATGATGACGCTATCATACCGAATGTGCTTGTTTGGGACTACACCGAAGAATGTCGACGGCCTCCGACCAATCTTCTTCGGACTGGTAGCGTAAATAGAGTGCACGGCAAGAACGGATCTGTAGCAACATGAATAAATACACACTGGTCAGAACGTGGAAGGGAACATTATGGTATTATGAATGGCGCACTTTGATAGATAGCCGAGCATCAAGAGCATTTACGCCATGTACGGCCCTTTGAAGGAAAGACCACAGCTTGGCGTGAAAATCCTTTACTAAAGAAGTTGCTTTGAGTTCATCCTCGAGAAAGCGTGAGTTTGTCCAAGCTCGAAAGGGAGACCGGAGAGCCCAATGATCTAAAGTGCCTCCTTCTCGTGCCAAAGCCGCATCTTCCTCTCGGTTGACAGTGCTTTCCACATCCTCGTCCTCTTCATCCTCAGTTTCCCAGTCCGAGTCATCCTCGCTCTCTTCCTGAAGCTTTTGGTCGTACTCGTCGACCGCCATTCTGATTTGAGCCAACGCCTCTCCGGTCTCGTCGTGACGTGCTATCTGGAGCAGAAAGCGAATGAGAAATGTTTGAAGTCAGTTTTCTCACAAAATGGAACACAAGAATGTACGAACCTGCTTTGAACCTGCTTTTCGGTATCTCGGCAATTGGTCAGCCTGTATGCCTGCGCAATCTCCTGCTGGAATCCTTCACCTATTCTAGTCGTAGAATTTATAGTGGTCCCTCCATACCGGATGCTGGAGGGTAGATGTACGGTGGCATGCTGCTTGAGAAAATTGAAGTTCTTGTCATATTGATCGCCGAGTTTCTATCAACCATGTTAGCTGGAACTTAGATACTGGTAGATAGAATCAAAAATCGAAATACATCGCACTGCTTCCCATACTCCCGGATAAAGCGCTGCAAGCGCTCCATGCGTGTCGGATGAAGGGACGATGTTGGCGAAGGGCCATCGTGAGGAGGAACACCCGATCGCGGGAGAACGTCTGTCATGACGTGCATGCCGGCCATAATCCGAAGACGCTGGTAGGCGCGGATGCAGTGAACGACGACACTGTTCTTCGGGAGTAGTTCAACGATACATGGGAGAATACATTTGAGCACCCAATGATAAGCAAAAGAATCATGACCAGGAAAGGGAGACGTCAAGGTCTGTATACCGGCACGAGCTCACCTTGAGAATGTCGAAGAAGGCTTGCCCATCAGCGAACTCCGTCTCCGAAACCTTGTTGAAATGCTTCGACTTGGGCCATCGAGGAAATCTCTGCATGCTGCGGTAAAGTTACATAGATCACGAGGATTGGCTGAATACCACAGGAGGTCAAATGAAGCGCACTTCTTCTCCAACCTCGACTTTCCATGCTTAACCTCCTTGAGAATTTGGAGGAGTTTGGGCCACAGATGCTTTCCCCACTTTCCGAGGTCGTCAGAGTGGAGCAGATCGTACATGTAGGCCAAGTACGGATCTGTAAAGCGATACTCCCACATGAAATGCTATCATATGATCCGATCCTCAGTCGATGCCGCGACCCCAGAGATCGAGAAAACTCCGATGGCACACCTTAGTATCATGAAGCCCATATTCTTGCAAAAGCCTCTCTGCTTCACCCTTGGTGGACGCTAGCTCCACACGCCTCAGAACGGCACGCATGGCCTGGATAGTCCGCACCTCAAAGGACGAATTAAGCTTGTGGAGGTTGCATTTGCCGACAAGACAGTTGGGGCATGGATGATTCGCTCGGGCATGTTTTACGCACTCGAAGTTGGCCGCCTCCTCAGCGTCGAGAGATACAATAAAAATCCCAGGATGCGCGACACGGATCTCCGTGTCGCCACATTTGATGGCCTCACCGAGACAAGAGAGTAACAAGAGTGCATGAAAGATATAACCTAGAACAGCCTGGTATACAGAACGTTTGAATGAGGCAAACTCGTCGGACTCTTGCGTATTACGGTCATCTGGATCATCTGGATCGGGAATCTAAGACTTAGTGAGGACGCTGAAGGATTGTGCTGTATTGATATCTGAATTTACCTCCGGCATGAATCCAAGGAGCACTCCACCACCGTTTCCTGAGCCGTTACGTATCTTCCACGGGAGAAAGGCTGCACGAAGGACGATAGGGTGTTTCTTGACTCGTTTTGTCACCATGCCCTTGTCGAGCCAGACATGGAAAGGTACAAAACAATGTGGATGAGGATCAGGCTCCGGCAATTCGTCCTGCAGTCACAACAATGCGGATGCCGATCAGGGTTATGGAAACGATGGAGACATGCTGGAGTGTGCCGATGACAGGAATACGCACATCAATATCCCACCATCCATCGGCGGTATTGGGCTCGTCAATAATACGAATCTCGTTCCCGTTTTCGTGGTAAGTCTTGCGAACAGAGTGCCACATTATAGATTCGCTAAGTGTCTCGTCTTGAAGCAGCGAGCGCATCCAGGTGATTGGGTCGCGGTAGGGAAAGTCGAACGGGACCATATTGCCCTTGTAGTCAACCTCAACATGCCCCCATTCAAACTGTATGCACATTTGAGCATCGAGACTAGGAAACATAGATTGATCGGTGCGCACCCGTTGAGTGTACTCCCGTGCAGCCGCAAGAGATACTTGAAGGTCATCGTTCGAGCGAGACGTAATATTGGATCCCCCGACCATCCAGTTACTGTGCATTCCATTCAACTGCTTATCGACGACCCTCCGTCTCATTAGCCCTTGTACTACGGTCTCAGCGTACTCTATATCTTGACGTAAACGGAATGGTGCCCAGGGCTTTGGTAGATCAGTGCGCTCGATAGACGTGCTGCTCTCATGATGCAAAGACGATTCGGGCTGAGGTAAAGTCAAGGGGAATCACTGTGGGGGTAAAGGATGGATTGTGAGGGTGCTGAATGTAGCGGATGAACACCCGGGTTTGACGTTCCGGTGGCGGCAAATACTCTTGAGTATCGAACGAAATCTCTAATAGATAAGTAGCATATCAGAACAAGGAGGGATATACGTATATCTTGGTAGACACAGACATACCGGGTACGCGTTCGCTTGCTGCATCACCTGAAGCTGGTGTCATCATTCGCGCGCGGTGAATACCTCGAGCATCTGCATTTGTATCGCTGCCTCCGTCTTCTTCCTCCTCCTTGTGTGCAACAGGTTAACTTTGGGCAATGCCGGTTGCAAGGGGGAAAAAGGAGATACGTACCAGTGCTTCATGCTTTCGCTTTCTGAGACGTTTAATGTCCCGTCTCATACGCCATTTTTCCTTGCAACTGACGACATGATCAGGATAACCACGGGCATCCTTTCGATGCTTGCACTACTTGCATAATTTCCCGCCCGACAGGTTCGGCACACTGTGAGGCATAGTGGATGGATGGTTGTGAGGTGAACTGTGGTTGCGAGTGAGTTGTCCGGTGTCGACTTGAACAACGTAACGATGCTCATCACCAAAGCATCAAGGGTTCACGTATTTGGTGCGGCCCCACTTTGATAGAGCCGGAGAAGTCTAAGAAAAAATTAGCGTCATGATTTACCGCTATTCGCTTTAAGAAATGATAATCGGAGGTGCCCGTCAGGTCTCAGCATCGGACGTCCGCGTAGACGAGGTAAGTTCGACGTTGAACCACACCAACGAGTTGGACGATACCTCTGCTTCATCCAATCAGCCATAGATAATGCCTGGACAAAGTCCGAACGAATTTTCGTCAAGTGGCTCTGATTCTGAGACTTCATCCGACGAAACACTGAAGGTGCGCACACATTATTATCATACCACGAAGATTTAATGATTTTATTTCGTCGTCAGGTTCTCCGACAGATCCAACTCGAGCGCAATCAGCTTGCAAGCGAGAATTCAAAACTCAAACGCCAATTAGTTGCTACCTCCAATGTCAGGCGTACAAGAGACGGAGGCGACAGCGATGAAGACAGTGATGCGTCCGAGGCCGAGTCTTCTGATGACGACGAGGAGACAAGACTCAGGGATATCAAGACCTTCGGTCAGCGCTTCCTCCTCCAGCACCAGTTTTGGTTTCGGAAGGACAAGGCGACGTTTGGAGAAGAGATCGACGAGAACTACAGCATGTACGTGCAGTTCCGTTTCGAAAGCACCTGGTCGAAAACCCAGGCACAACTTCATAAGCTCCTCGACGTCATTCCCATCAAATACCACGAAGAGCGCAAGCGCAGTGTCCTACCTGCCCAGGTATGTGTTCTATGTTTATGATAGAACTTATATCATGCTCTTCGTTCGCCCGAATGTTCATCGTTCGGTTCAACCAGTTTCTGGCTGCGATGAACACCGAAAGAACCACCATAACCAATCGTGTGCGTATGCTCTGTGGCCCCGAGATCTTTCATTGCCCAAAGGCCAACCTGGCGACACAAAACGCGCGGCTCAACCAAGCAGCGTTCTCTGACGCTATCAGATAGCAGGCCAGTGATACTGAAGGTCTGCCGGGGAGGTATGCTGGTCCGCTCCGCCGCCCAATCGCCCACAAAGACTTCACTGGGCAGTACAACGTGCAGACCGCGTTTCGTAATCCCCAGCTCAAGGCGGTAAGATCAAAACTGACGAGACCTACTTCCTTGAACTTACTGAGCTTTCTCATCAGGGTTTACGTTTCAATCATTTGGGGACCTGGCGCTGTTGGTGGGTTCGTTGATTCGGGGATCGTGGTCCCTCCGAGAGGCGAGAGCCTTGCGACAAAGCTCGGTCTGACTTACACGACACCTGGAGCGATATGTCTCAGTGTAATTGTGGTGAGTATCTCCCTCATGACATATGTAATACATTCCTTACCTGTCATTAGGCTACATGGGCACTCTCTCCCGATGAACAGCTCAAGAAGCGCGGTATCAGTTCGGGTATCACATACCAAGATGATTTTGACAAATATTTGAAACTCCTCCTGCGGGGTCTGGAAACACGGGATGCGAATACACTACGTCTTTTCCGTGAGTGGGATGCTGCGATATTCCCGGAGACCAAGGACACGGGGCTTGGTGCAGAGATGGGCGCAGCAGCTGAGAGAAATGAGGATGACGTAGAGATGGAAGAGGCGTTAGCAGCTGTTGAAGGAGGGGAGAGGGTATAACAGAGCCGTGATGAACCGTGTGCGGACACCTACCGATCTCTGTCGAGGTTGCATGTTTGTTCAATAGTACCGCAACTGCATCTTTCTCAACCTCTTGAGGGCCACCCGCTTGGATGATGCATCTTTTGATGGGAAGCGTGCCTATCAAGGCATACATGTCACTTGCGTGAGTTCCTTTTGTGTTACGCACAAAGGAGCCCAGGCTCGAGAATCGTACACGTCCAAATCAGGCCTCGACGATGCTGCTGCTTGACTCGTTCCGTACAGCATAGGACACATTTCAGCGGACAGCAAATGTATATGCATCGGCAAAAAGCAGTGAGCGGTCTGGATACAAGGATGACACACAGGATTATCAGATGTTCTCGCCTGGTTGACGGAGGGATGGAGGGATTGCAGACGTGTGTAGGAGTAGTTCGTAGTTCACCGTCAGCGTCGACCTCGGTGCCACATTAAAGGAGAATGTTCGCACGGACATGATGACATCATCTTAGCTACCTTCACGCGCCTTCCTTGCTCTTGACCGTCACCTCGGTCGTCGACTCTCTCAAGCTGGACCCGGTAATATTCAAGTAAGGTTATGTGTGATGGGCTGGAGGTATAGAGAGCAAGGCCTCGGATGACCCAGTGAAGGAGTTGAAATATGGGAATCGGTGTTATGCGTTCGTCCCTATCCAATCTCACCTCGCTTCTTCAACACCACTGTTTCTTTCATTGTCTCGTTCCATATACTTTGATAGCTTCAAAGCTGGCCTCCGAAAAAGGCATGTATTTCATTGGAGAGAAGCGGTTCAGAGCTGTATGTTGTTTTTCTTTCTTGGTATTTCACTGACGGCACATTCGCATCCTCAGGCCGATACTTCTGCATCGGTAATTCCAAACACGCTGCAGGAATCTCTCCTTCACTTGGTGCGTCTGTTGTGTATCTCCTTCACCTTGTCACCATGTGACGAATACAAGTGCCTCAGGCTCTCATATCCATCTGTGCATCCCGTTTAACCCGGAACCATCCAACTGCTCAAACGTTGGATCTACCGTGGGGTTGGATCTACCGTGGGGAGAGTTCTTCATCTCTTCACCGGGTAGTTCTCGATAGGTATTACCGGGTAGTTCTCTGTAGACTTTACCTCCCACTTCAACCTCCAACCGCTCCATTCGAGAAGAAACACAGAGCGCCACTCACAACCCCTCAACCGAGCCACACGTCCCTATTTGGCAAGCCCGGCCACCCGGCCCGCCATCGAACCTCCACCTCACTTCCCTTCGTCACTCCCTTTCTCTTCTTCCTTCCTCCCTCCTCTGTCCCTTTCTCTCACCACCGCGTACACTCATCCTAATGCCCCCATCATCCTAACAGGGCTACATGCGGGGCATGTAGACCCCACCTTACCTTCATCACCGCCCCAACGTTTAAACCTCCTCTCCCACCAACTCCTCTCTCCCACCTCACTTCCCGTATCTATGTAATGTCCAAGCCGACCCAGATCGCTGCCACAACGTCCCAGGGGAAGATTGCGGCCCAATCCGTGTCATGGCAGAGACGCCGATGCGGTTCGATGGCGATTCCCAAGACACCGTCGCCTCGAGTTCCGTCAGCCCCGACAAGTCGTATTCGAAATACATCATGATCATTTCCATAGCGCTGCCCAGATGGAATTGCTCGGACAGCGTCCTGGTCCCTTGCTCACTCCTCTGTCTATTTCCTCTTTCGTCCTACCGCTCTGTAGCTTATAATAACCCGCCCAGCCACTCTCAGCCCCCAACACCTTGGACCTGCACGCACGCCTGTCGCTCCCCGCCTCAGCTGCTTCCCGTCCTGCCTGCTTCGGGCCTCGATCTACCTATAAGTATCCGAGCCTTGTCTTATGCCTGGTTCCCCACCTCCTCTCATCCATGACATACTAGACCACATCGTCCTCCTCTCCAGTCGAGCAACCACCCTCGGTCCCCCACAGAACTTACATTCCTTGCTGCTCACCTGCCGCGCTTTCCATTCGATGCTTGCAGTGGAGCCATCCCCTGGCTTGTACGCTCAGCTATTCGACTTGCAATTCGATCTCGCTGCTCCTAAACGGAGGTTGGACCCTGACGTGTTCTCGTCTTCATCCAGACAACTAGAAATGAAGAGGAGGTTCACTGCAATGCAGCTCTTCAAGAGAGGTGATGTGTACGTCGGTGGCGACGACAAGCAGTTGGCGGAGGCGTTTGGTGTGGCGTATATCATGTTATTGGAGGACAACGGAACGAATGCGTACAAATTGAAAGGTGCGGGGTTGGTAGATTTCGTAGAGGAGTGGCTGGACAAGAGGTTGTGCGAGAGCGATGGCGGGTGTGGATAACGAAATCAGCGCACTCGCTTTGAACATCCTCTGGCAGCTGACCGACAAAGGTGTGTGGCGCCGTCTCTGTTCCTGGCTCTGGTGGCGGTTTCGAGTAGATGTGATGCTAACAGGCTCATCTCTAAGGCATGGTCTCTACTAAGGCTAAAGGTCATCGTGACCATATCCAAAGCTTGCTCCTCCCCATCGTGGTTGTCGGGTCTCGGGTACGCCACACGCCACTCTGACATTTAGCACATTCGTTTTCTTATCTTCGACTCTCTAGTATCCCATTCATCTAGCATCATCTTCCCACTCATCATCCACTCCTTTCCAACGTCCACGAACTATCACGCTCCCTCCTCTATGCCTCCCAGCCATTCTTTCATACGTTGTCCGCGCCGATTGCAACCCTCTCAACGTACCCCAATACGCACTCAACACACGAGCGGACGCTATTGCTATGGGTGTCAATGAGCCCACAGTAGAAGATATTGTGGAGCATAATATGGCGACGAAGACGCAATGCTTAGAGCATCCTCAGTGGGACGTGCCTCAGTCGCGTTCATCTCCACGACCATCCTCGCCTTTGTCTCATCCCCAGCAAGGATTGTCTGGCGCTCCTATGTTTCCTTTCAACGAATACCAACCCCTTGCGGAGGGCACTAGCAAGAGCGAGCGACAAGACTCGGACTGGGCCCGCCTTACCTCCACCTCCGCATCCGATTATAATGACCTGTCCTCCGTCCATTCCTCTTCCGACTATTCTCAGGCTCGTGGCGCGGTACCTTGATGGTGAGTCTCTTTCTTCTTTCGTTTCGGATTATTATTATCCCTCCCTCTCTCCATGCGCCTTTTCATTTCTGCTTGGTCGGTCATCGTCATCGAACCCTTGGCGCCTCCATGTTGATGGTGTGCATGATGATGTGGCATCGACACACGGCCACCTCGTCCTGTTTCCTTTCTCGTTCTTCCTTTCTCCTGACGCTCGTGGGTGTGTATAGTTCCGCATGCTGATCAAATATCTTTCTTCTTTATGCGTCGTGTTCGCTCGTCTTGTGCGTTTTCGATCGGGCTCGATACTGTGACGTGCACGATGCGCGTTTGCGTGGGTGGCAATTTGTTGATCGGTGTGGCGCTTGTCTCCGCGTTTTGGTTTTCCTCCCACATCTCCTTGCTCTCTCTCCACACTATCGTCCAAATGTCGTATCTCTTCATTCGTCTCACGCACGCTTACAGCTCCCAAGCCTCGACGTCCCAACTCCGGAGACTGTCAAGGACCCCGAGGGTTGTATTACAAGGAGACCTTTATACGTGGACTTAACTGAGCACTGGAGGACTGTTCAGGTTCCATGCGAAGACGACGATGGCCAACGTGATGAAGGAGTCGGACGTCGCAAGGATGTGGAGAAGAGGATGAAGGAAGAGGGTGTATGTAAGCCTGAAGGATGGGAGGACGGAGAGTGGAGTTACAGGATGAACTCGAGCCAGGTGAGTAGCTCTTTTCATGTCTTTCCTTTCTATCTCGGACTGGGTTTGGGTTTCGATGTTTGGTGTCCGTTTCTATTATTCGTTGTGGTGTGGGGTACGATGTTGCCGGACGCTGACCGCCTCCATTATTTATTGCATACGTTCGTTGTAGGACGGCATCGAGGTCCACACTCCCTCTTCAGCACTACAGTCCTCGGATGCGGCCTCGCCTTCCGACTTCGACTTCAGCGCAGACCCCCCCTCCGCAAACCGGGCCCAAGTTCACGACGACCTCTTACAAGACGCACACCCCATTTCCCACCACTTTCCGTCCCGTACCGAGATCTAATGACAACCCCAGTGCGTATATGCATCTGATGGCCTCGATATCCCGATTGATGGCCTGCGCGTCGCCTTTACCCTTGCATGAAGACACGGCGTTGGGGACAACACAAGCGAAGGAGAGGGAGGTGACAGAGATTGTGTTGACGGGTAGGGTACGTCCGATTCATCTATTCTTTCTTGTGTTATGCTTGAGCTTCGGTACAAGCCTCATTGTTTTGTTTCGTCGTGGTCGTGTTGTGGATTCATAGACGCCCCCAGACGCAGCTCGGGCCTGGGGCGATTACGACTACTTCGGGAAGGTGCGGGTGAGCGACGGGTTGGTCGTTCTGAGTCGGAAACCGGTACGTTTCTAGTTTTCTCATGTGCCTCTCTTGCTACGAAGGAAGTGGAAGATGTTCTGACGTTCTCTTACAGGTGGGCAACACCCCGAGTTGGGGCTCGCATATTGCGGAACCCTCTTGGGGCTCTCATAGGTTGGGTACGGCTCGATAAACAGAGGAAACTCCATTTTTATTGCAGAAATATGTTTCATGCCATGACTGTAGACTTATCACGGAGCTGGTTTTGGTTTAATCTTCATTTTAACGATGGGCAACCCATTGACTGTGACTGCTACGGGCGAGGTTGACTTCCGGATAGCGCCGAATTTCCACGCCACACAGCCGGGCCCTCTACCCTCAGCTTGCGCAGCTGGAGTATGGATCAACAAACAGAGGAAACTCCATTTTTATTGCAGAAATGAGTTGCATACAATGGCCATAGAGTTATGACTGAACTAGTTTTGGTTTAATCTTAATTTTAACGATGGGTAGCCCATTGACTCTGACTGCTGTGGGCGAGGTTGCCCTCCGGATAGTGCCGAACAGCCACGTGGGGCCACACAGCGCTATTGTCGGCACCATGGTCCAATTGTTCAGCTTTGTGCGAGCTTCTACCTCAGTAAAACCTGTTCACTGACTTCTTAAATTCATGATCAAAGTATAAATGATGTATTCTAAAACCAAAGCAAGGTAATCTAAACTAGTCTGTTTCTTGCTTAATTACATAGAGATCATGCAGAACACTGTCAAAGTCAGGACCAAAGAGATCAGGATCGTTGGGGTGGTTGGGAGCATATGATATGCCTCGAGTAATACGACGACGCTTTGACAGAGGCTCGAGAGACGACTGTGATGCAATAAGTGAATCGACACCTCTCCTGCCAGTCTTTGGCACCTTCTTCTGAGTCATGCTATAGGAAGTAATGCCAGCCACGGATGGTACGCCCGCCTGCATGACATGCGAAGTGCCACCACTTGACTCATCCTCAGAGTCGGAGTCTACGTCACTTGCCTCCATTTCTAACTCCGAGTCATATACGTTCTCCGAATCACCATCGACTTCGCCTTCATTCGCGTTCGCTATGGTGTCTCGAAGAGCCCGAACGTCGGCGAAAGAGAGATCAAGGGTAGATCGATCTGCTTTAGACATGGAAGTGACAGTTGTGGTCTGGCTGGTGGTCCGTCGTCCACGTTGAGCAAGGGAGCGAAGGTGGCGTTCGACCAGGTGGATAGGCTTATTGGGATCTGGGTCGCTAGCAGACACCAGGACACTGCAAAACGGACGAATGTTCAGGAGAGCCGTGAGAGAAATCAGTAGACAGACTTACATAAATTTCCCATTCGTATTTCTCAACGGAATACCTCGTCCATCGAACTCCAGCGGGCCGATGGCAACGTCGCGAGTGCATTCAACGATATAGCTGAACGTCTTGACCCGGCGCTTCTCGCCGATAAGAGGTTTGATTCTGAATATGCGGCTGAGGATGAGAACCGGACATAATGTTTACAAACAGTAAAGGCGTGACTTACTTATGGTATGAGAGGCTGTCTGGGTGGATAGGAATAACACTCCAGAGCTGTTTAGGACCTTTGTACGCAAAAGTCACGCGACGCTTAGCCTTCATGGATGCAGATGGAAGCAGAACAGGTTGATAGATTGTTGGATGCAGGTAAGTGGGACCATCGGCCAGCCCTATGTTTGACGCGCAGATAATTGCTGTGTCAGAAAGAGAAAGAAAAGATGGTAATCGAAAACATACCCTCTTCAATGAAATACAGGACAAGAGGGTTGTTCTGTGCTCTAGGCGAAGAGATATCGCCGAAGATAGCGCCGATGAGTGAGTCGTCGCGCTGAAAGGCTGGAGCTAAGTAGGTTGGCTCAAAAACATCGTGCTGGTCGATGGGATCGGAGGTCATGTACTTGCTCTGGACAGCGCTTATGAGAGAGATAGAGACATACAAAGGGAGAACACACCTTGTAGTCATCAACGAGTTGCGCCATTCTTGCAGAAATCCATGTATCGTTCCGAGCATAGACAGGCAAGAACTGCCGGTAGTTGAGACGTTGTTGCTGGGTAGGTGCTAAAATACCCTGTCTCACGCAGCGCTGAACGTAAGGCCTTTGCGAACACCAAAGATACATAAAGTGAAACAACAACAAGGTATTCAAGTACGCACCATATTTCAGTTTCACAGATGATCGAACCAGCGTATGAAGCCAGTGCAAAGCGAAGAGTACGGGACAAACAATCGAACAAGGCTTCTTCGGTACAGTCGACAGGAATGCCTGTGATGTGCACACATCAGCTCCCTATCCATTCGTAGGACAAGAGCAACGCAGAGCGAAAGAACATACCTGTCGTGTGTAAGTAGTTGACGATGGTATATACGCCTATACCGCCCCACACCATGCGATGCGAACGGATTACATTGCAAGCAAGGCCTTCACGCTCACGAGGATGCTCTGCACGAACTCCGTTGCGATTCACCGTCCACCTACGCTCCTTCATCCAATCGACGATAGACTGTTGGTATGCTGGCCAGTCCTTCAATATGTCGATATGATGCATAGGAAGTTCGTGATATAGTGAAGCCCATGAAATCTGTTCATGAAATTGAGACATGCAGCAGGACAGATGGCGAAGTAATACGGCGAACCTGTAGAACCATGTCGCGCGAATTAAAAGACAGCACAAATTCTGGGAACTCCAGAGCCAGCCCTATCCGAAAGCCGCGCATCTGCATGTTCTAATGAGTGTGATATTATGTTGAGGAGGATGAGGATTACAGACCTCTGCAGGTACACACTTCACCGACGTCTCCCAAGTTTTGATAGGATAAACTTGTGGAGATGTGTGCGTCAGAAGTTGTATCTACGAAGTGCAGTGTGAATATACGTCAGGTGGAGCATCAAGACATATAATAAGATGAGAGGTGCTTACCTGGCACCAGAGAACACTCAGGTCTAATATGAAAGTACGGCATGTTGGTATGATGTCTTGCAGGTAGAGCTCGGTGACCGAGTGTGTCATGGCTTCTTCTTTAACCTGCTTGGTCTGGCGACCATTGGCTGAAGCAGAAGTAAGCTTGTTCAACATTGGAATTGCACCATAGGATATCCAAAAACGCACATCGCCACGGCCAGAGATATGTCTGACCACCAGTAGATCCACGCTTGTAATTGTCTGTGGCACTGAGTACGTCGACAAGTCCGTCCTTAAGACGAGTCCCTTTCTTGGCTCTACCACATTCCTTGACAGAACCATCAAACCAGATCGCCTGAACTTGTGCTTTGGCTGTTCCTGCAGGACGCGAAGTGGACTCTAGAACAGGACGAGGCACCAGAGGAATGAAGGTAGCAACAGTAGTTCGTGTCACCTTGCCCAGACAGTGAAACTCGTCTTTCTCTGGCATGCTGTGGACTGTATGAGAACCAGAAAGAGAGAGCCTCAATGAGTCAAGCTTAGGAGTGGATAGAGCAGTGCAGTGTACGAGGGTGAGACGTGTTGCGCGTTCTGGTTGAGCTTAGATGCGTAGTGTCACAGATGTGACCTTTTGTTCACACGAGCCACAGTACGGCTGCTTCGCCAAACCTAGTAAAATCGAGGGAACAGTCGGGTATCCGAACCTAGGCAGTGTCCCTGACAGCAGCACCAGATCTTCCTATGCATACCGATATTGCCTCGTAGCCGTTCCCCTCCTGGTCTGATGGTGTGATTACGCCGTCGCCACATCTCGATGTAACCGACTTCATCCATTTTTTTCTCCCTTTGCCCATTCATAACCACCGCGTCCCATTCGTTCTAACTATCACTTCCTGTCGTAGGTTCGACACGCAGCCCTCACAGCCGCCGTCTCCTACCTCTCGGCCCTTTCGCCACACGCGCTGCCCCACGCCCTCAAATTAATGTATCCAATCCTCGACACCCTCCCTTCTCTCCCCGCCTCCCAGCTCCCTCGGTACGCCCGTCACACCATCCTCTCACTTCTTCTCACTGATGTCTTCTAATATATCGTCCATCACCACCGCCACAACAGGTTCCTTATCACCCTAACCCCACTTGCCACCTCTTCTCCCTCCCTCTTCGCACCCCATCTCCCCGCCCTCCTTCGCTGGCTCCCCGGTCTCATCCTTCCCAGTGCCGACCCAGGCCCCACACCCACCGTTGCTCGTCCCTTCCCCTCCTCTTCTTCCGGCCCCTCCTCCGGCGCGTTCACATTCCCACCATCTCCGTCCCATCTTTCTCCCCACTCCCACTCCTCCGGCGCGGAAGACGACCCGCAAGACGAACAGGACCTCGAAGCGGAGGAGGTGAGGAAGGCCGCGCTGGAATTTATGATCAGCTTGAGCGAGGCGAAACCGGGGATGGTGAGGAGGACGGAGGGATGGGTCCAGCTTTTGGTTAGGGGGTGTTTGGGCGGGATGGAGGGTATCGATGGAGGGTATCGATGTGAGGGAGGAGGAGTTGAGCGGGTGGTTGGAGGCTGATGTGAGTTTTTTGTCTTTCTTTTCTTTCGTTGGTTTCCTTGTGGGTGGAGTGGCGAGAAGGAGGTTTGGTGTGTCGCGGTGGGAGCCTCGTATGTTCGGGACAACGTTGAAATTAATGAGGCGCTTGAGGCTTTTTTCATCGCTCATTCCTTTCACTTCTTCTTTCTGTATCGTTCCCGTGCATTGATCAGAAGCTGATTATATTTCGTTGTTTGCCCTCCTCGATTCATATTACGCGATTCCGCCCGCCTTCCATATCCTACCCACGCCACTCCTCTCGGACGAAATATTCACTCACCGCCTACCCGATCGCTCAAATCAATGGACAAATCAACAAAATCCCACTTACCGACCAAATCCCGACAATAATCCAGCCCTCCGACGACCCGGCAGACGATACCTACCCCCACATCTAGGAACAGTCGCTCGACAGGCTCGCGTGCGCGGTCGGTGGGAAAGCGGTGCTGCCCGCTGCGTTCCAGTTGATTCCCGGCATGTTGGTACGTTGTTCTAACCTGATTCGTTTTGTCTTTTTTTCTCATCCTCTCCTTTTTTGGGGGCTAACGTTCTTGATCGTGATCGTGTGTATCGGTGCGACGGCGCGATGGTGCTGGACGTTGGATTCGAATGGGGCGATAGGCCAGCCACGATTGGAGGTTGAGATATGCGGGCTTGATGGCCATCGCGGCGGTAGGCGAGGGAACGAGTAAGGTGATGCAGAATGAGCTGGGGAAGGTGGTCGAGTGCGTTATTCCTTTGACCTCATTCTTTTCTCCCTCGGGCATCGAATTTTTGTCTTTCATCGTGGATGGCTGGTTGTGCCGTTGGGTCATATGGGAAGGGATGCGGGGGACGCCGAGTGGTCGAATCTTACGAGGCGTGATCGGGCTCCTCGATATTGTATTCGAGGACAGATCTTTCATTGGAGAGAGGAGCAGCGGCGTGGAGAGGGAGCTACAGTGACGAGCGTCGTTCACCGAGTGCAACGAACGTAGAAGACGGGAGAGTGTGTATCGGGAGGAGTCTGGCTTGGCAGTACGCGTGAGACGCCACTCGGATAAAATGCTGACCTTGCTTTGTTTTTATTTTTTCTAGCTTGATCCTCCCGCTCTTCAGCGATCCTTATCCGAGAGTGCGATATGCCGCTTGTCAATGGGTGTACGTGTCCCCTTTCTGAACCCTCCTTTTTTCATCTCCTCTTGCTAGTACCCTTCCGCATCTCCTACTATGCCCTTCTCCCCTTGCTTATTCCTCCGTTCGCCTCAACTGATCTTACAATTTTATCCAACCAGCGGCCAGCTCTGTACAGATCTCGAGGTACGTCCGGCCCTCCAAACGAGCACTTTGGCGAAGCGTACATAGAGACCGATGACGTGCTCCGTTGTCGCCGTTTAGGAAGTCATCCAGGCGGAGTACCATCAGCAACTGTTTTCCGTGCTCATCCCTACGCTTGAAGCTCCCGAGTCGAGGTATGTGTCTCCTATCACCGGGTTCTCTTACACACTTCTTCTACAGCCTCCATTCTTCCCGTACTGGCTTTTTCGCCGACTCCATCGGCTGTCTTTGCCCAGTTTGTTTTGCTCTTCATGACCTTTCGTTAACCTTCGTTCATTCTTTACCCACTCTCTTCGTTGTTTCAATGATGGTTTTATGGTTCACTGTCCTGATTTACCTGCACCTTGTTCGTAACAGAGTACACGCCCACGCCGCAGCCGCCCTCATCAACTTCTGCGAAGGAGTCGAGCGCGACACGCTTATCCCCTACCTCGATCCTATCGTCGAGCGCCTCCTCAAACTCCTTAATCCTGCTGGCCTCTCTTCCGCGAACGCAGATGCGAATGGGGCTGGGAACGAGAATGGGACGGGCGTGAAGAGATATGTGCAGGAGCAGGTGATTACGACGTTGGCGATGGTTGCGGATGCGAGTGAGGCTACGTTTGCGAAGGTGAGTTTTTCTCTGTTTCGCTTTGCGTTGGAGGTGGTAGTTGTAGGTTGGAGTTAGGTTAATAACGTTGATTTTGTTTCTTCTTGCGTATCTCGATGAATTGAACTTTTGCGGGTGCTGTGACGCTTTGGTGGGTCGTGGTCGATGTAGCATTACTCGAGCATCATGCCTTTGCTCCTCAATGTCCTCAAGAATGCGAATGGACCGGAGTATAGGAAGTTGAGAGTCAAGGCGATGGGGTGTGCCGGGTTGATCGGTGCGTCGCGTCTCGGTCTTCCCCTTTCAATTTGTTCAATCCGTTTGAGGTTTTATGCGCTGACTATGCTCTCTTAACTTCTAGCGATCGCGGTGGGACGAGACGTGTTTAGGCCAGACTCCCAAGTCTTCGTAGAGCAATTGATCCGAATACAAAGTACGTCTTTTCTACCTGCCCTCGCACCTCAACAGTTCGACGTGGCTAATTTATACCTGTGTTCGAAGACAGCCCAGTCGATCCCGGCGATGCCATGCTGCCGCACTACCTCATCGCGACGTGGGCGAAGGTCTGCCAGGCCATGGGCCCCGAGTTCGAACCTTATCTACCTGCGGTTATGCCGCAATTGTTAAGGGCTGCGAGTGTGAAGGCAGATGTTTCGATCTATGGTAGGTTTCTCCTTTCATTCCCTTCTCTCGTCCGTTTCAAATCGTTTCCACCCGACGCTCATATAATTGTTGGTGATGAATATCCATAGAAGACGAAGACGTCCCGGAAGACAAAGAAGGCTGGGAGACGATTACTATGGACGGGAAACAGGTCGTCGTTCGCACTTCCGCCATCGACGAGAAATGTCAAGCCTTTGAGACGTTGGTGAACTACGTGTCTACACTCGGGACGCAGTTCGCTCCCTATTTGAGTCAGACGCTCAAGCTTGTGTTGCCAAGCTTGAGGTTCTATCTGCATGATGGTGTCAGGGAGGCCTGTGCGATGTAAGTGCTGACATTTTATCTTGAACATATCCCACCGTCAACGAACCTCGAGAATTTACTCGTGATTGATGTTAACTTGATGTTATCGATAGGATCGTACCCATGCTCATCTCTGCCGGCAAAAACTCGAACACGCTAACGAATCAAATGATTTCTGTGACCTACTCCCAAGTCATCGCCTGCATCGCCATCGAATCTGACGCTTCCTTCCTCTCGTCCCTCTACAGATCCCTCTCCGACACCCTTCGCGTCGTGGCTGGCCCTTCCTCCGCACACTCCCGTCCCCATTCCCGTTCAGCGTCAGCAACGCCTCCAACCTCCTGCCCAATTCACCACCCCTACCTCCACATATATCGCCGGTCCCATCCAGCAACCTCTCCTTCTGACTCTCCTCCGACTCCGCCATTGCCGTCATCTTCCCCAAACCGGGAACACCTCTCACCTCGACACCTTCCTCTTCGGCACCACACAGCGCCAGCTCGCTAGCATGGCCACGCTTAGAAACGATGTGCCACGAAGCTCAATCGGTATGGGAACATATAAAGCGGTGACGAGGGCGACATGGTTGGAGGAGAGAGGGAGGAGTTAGCGTTGGTCGAGGAGATGGATTCCGCGTTGGAAGATAAGTGGTGGTTGACGGAGATGTTTGAGATGTTTTGGGAGAGATTGGACAGGGTGTGCAGGGGATTATGGTCATGGTGGGGAGCATGAGGGATCTGGGGCTCGGGCTGCGAGCGTGCGGCGAGGCTGAGAGTGTGGATGTGAGTATAAGAGCGACTGCGAACAAGAGTTGCGTATCTTGTGTTGAGTGGCAGAGAAGAGAAAGAGGGAACGAGGAGGTTTAGCAGTTCGGACATTGTTGAGGTATCGATCTGCGACAGTCTGCATGTATCCTCTTGTTTTTATTTGTAGGTTCGAATCAGCTCCTTCTGTCACGGTGCTCGCTTGATGTCCTGGTTATCTCTTGTTGACGCTGTCACACCTTTGCTACGAGTAGACAGATGGTCATAGAAGAAGGATATATCTATTCATTCCCTCTTCCATTGTCATCGTCGTCGATTTACTGCTGCCAGCTCGCCATATCGCGGGCATTTTGTACATGAACTCGAACCCCAACAATTCCCTGCACACTCACAGTTTTGCCCAAGTGTGTCAGGTAGCCCTCTCTGATTGTATTCAAATAGCAACAGCGTGTTGCGTTTCGCCAGTGAAGATTATCCATCAAACAGCGATAGCATCTTGAATGACGAAAAAGCAGACCGATATAATTGCAACTACATCACATCGGAAACAACAACGAGGCATCTACTGCTACGATACCACGACAGAAGAAGGTCGTACTGATCCGAGCAACTAGATCACGTCGTAGCGGAGATGCCCATGCTGCAGAGTTCGGAGAGGTTCAAGAGGTCGAGCATTCGTCACTACAACTCTACGTCCATTCGGGCTCCGGTAAATCCTCCATGGTACCCCCAGTACAAACCCGTGCCATGAGGGGTATCTTTGCCAGCGAGTGAATTTCTTGGCTCAACTCGATCCATTCATCAGGATGGTCTTTTCGGAATGCTTCCAGATGGGTGGTGAAGGTTCGTCGGAGGGCGTCCATCCATTTTTGGACTATCGGCTGCGTAAGATCGACAAAGTCACGAGAGCCTGTTCGCCATTCGGACACAGCTAGCCAAAACTACAGAAATGGGGTAAGAAAACAATGAGAGACAATCGAGGGTGGTATGGACTTACAACAACCCATCCTTCAACTACCATACGAACTTGATAGCCTTGTGGTGGCGCCGGAGTCGACTGAGACGGGCTGAGGAAGCCATAACGAATGGCTGCAGTCAACTCTCTAGGACCCTCTTATCCCCCAAATATTCACTACCCCGCCATGATTTTGTTCTGCGACATACCACTTTCATTCTTGTTTGGCCAACTGCTCTTGAGCTCTACGAACACCCTCCTGATGTCCGCTTGCCCACGCGATGTCTCAATCTCTTCGTGTATCCCTTTCTCACCGTACTGCGAACCTCTTCACACCTACACTGTGGTTACTTATGCTGGAGCTGCATCATGCCTGTATTTTTGTTGTATATCACACCGAATCATCATGTTGTATGTCTATGCAATATCTTGGCTACTGAATACCTAGTGTGGATGACCATAGGATGACAGTATGTACTTTGCTGTGAGGGTGAGCACAGAGCCTCATTAATACACGGAGCTCAAACAATTCCTGTAATGTCTTTGGCTCAGTAGGTAATGGCCTGTCTCTGTGAACAACGGGACCGGCTGTCCTGTAAGGTCGAGGGTTCAAACCATGCGTATACCACTTTGTCTACTGTAGTCCTAATTGCCTTACCCTGTGTTCTTCATGGCTGTAGCACCTATCTTAGTTTGTTGTACTGTAGTTTTTGCTTTATTGACATTCTCATTTGAAGTCCCTATATACATGAAAGGAGACAGCTTCATTTAATGTGGAGATCTAGTCGGTGGCCAAGCAAATGCTCAAAATCCGGATTTTTCCGGATCACCTTCCTAATTTGGATGAAGTTGAACTTCGGCTGCTGAATCAAGGAAGTTTTTCCACCACCATCACCCTGGCCCAAGCTTTCCATAACTGAATCACCCTCCATGGCAAAGAAGACCAAGGCAGCAAAAAAACTCAATGATCGATGTCAGTCATCTCTCCAAGAATATTCATAGTACCTGGCAGCTAATTGCAGCTGTGCTCCTAGTCAAAACTCTTCTTGCTACACATCTTGTTGCCCTCCAGACTCTTTCACTATTTTCGTGGGAGTATGTGACCCAAGAGTCTCTACCTCTACTTGAGAAAGCCCAGGGTATATTTGGACATGAGGTTCTTCCTGATGTATGTTTTCCCTCTTTTTACAGTAGTATCTGTACTAATCAGCCAGTAAGTTCGAGGCCTTTCTGCACTTGAGCATGAGTCACTGCCGGAATATCCAGGATGAACCACTCGGTATAGCACTAAAGCAGCTGCAGAATATATGTAATGAATCAAAACCTACCAAAGCCACTCATACAGAGAAACGAAAGCTGGTGAGCTACTCGCAACCATTCCTTCTGTACCTTCACCTGGGATATGACTAAAGTTGATCATATAGGTCAGGTCGTTTGGCCTCGGTGAAGCTGCATTTTCTGTTGCAGAGCTTATTGCTGCACATAATGGTAATCTTGATGCTGCAGCTGCTGCCAGCCGTGATGGGCCTGTACAGCTTGTCGTTCGCCAACGCATTACAGATCCACCTCCAAAGCTTCGGAAATATCTTGTGGAGGTCTATGACCCTCGATTTGCTGATTGCATTCTGGCTAACGAGGAGACAGGATATTATGTCGTGTATCCAGAGCAATCCGTCATATTTATCGCCCCGAATAAACCGGGTGGTGAGTAGTTAACTCAGTTCAATTGTTTTAGCGGCTCATACTCACTGAATTATAGAGATTGATGTTGAACTTGCAGTGCACCGCGGTGCAGTCCAGCAAAGTGGATCACATCAACACCTATATGACTGGCTGAAATATGTCGTGAACGAGGCATGCAATGCCCGACGTGATATACGCGTAAGTTGATTATACACATTACCCATTTTCTCCTGGTAAATAACACCCCAACTAGCCCAATCACGATGGCAATATGGTCCAGATTGGACTAAACCGTGGTGCCAGACATTGTCGCACATCTGGTTATGCCGTCAGCTTCCGTGCCAAACTCAGTGATGACACAAAGGCTAGTCAAGATGAGAATGTTATAGGAGCAACAAGCCTGTTCTGGCGATTTGTTCAGCGTTTTATGCCCGTAGAGGTCACAAGGCACGTAGAAGAGCAGATTGATATGCACGAAATGCCGACTATGGCCACATCGCATGTGCCATCAGGTATGCAGATTTATTGTGAATCACGTTTACTTAACACAGGTGCTCATCCCGTTTACTATAGACATCGGTTTTGCTCTGGAGCTTAACGAGGTCGAATATCGTTTCAGTCTTGCTGAGCGGGGCCCTCCAGAGGCATATCTGAGCCGTGGCTATGCAGCGTATGTTGAAAATTCCACTTGACCAGTATTAAATGCTAACGATCTCATATGTTCTTGTAGCTGGTCACATTGCGATAAAACCTTCTGCCAATATACCTTCAGCTGGACAGTTGGTCAAGATGTGCCATACGACAACAAAAGTTATTCCTTGCGGAAGCGCAAGCGTGCTGTGGGTCCAGTCGGTGGAGGTGGCAACTTCGTTGATATTACATTGCGCGTTGTGGTGAAGGCTGCAGTAGGCACTCTTATGTGCTTCAAGCCCGGCCATCCACACGGTACATCGTATACCTACGGGACCGTTAACTATGGCTTTGGATTTGCATTCACACAGAGACTCTCCGATGCATGGGAGGAAATAAAGGAGAGGGGAGGAGTACCACTAGTTGTCGATGAAGATGGGGCTGGGGAAGGAGATGACGATGGGGGAGATATAGAATGGGAGATGGAATGTGACTAGAATTTGATACTCACCATCTAGTACTAATCAGAAGACCTCACAATGGGGTTTCATCGAGTTTGGATTGGTTTGAGCGAGTTTTGGTCGATTCACACTTTGGAAAACTACGAAACCGAGACACTCCAAAACAAAACTTGGAACAAACCCTTTTGAACTATCCGGTCATAACCAACACACTCGCCCACAATCGCATCTTGCCCTTCGCCTGTGCCTGGCCCTCCGCCCCCGCGCTCGCACCTCGACCCTCGAAATACCTCTCTCCGTACCCCATCAATACTTCGCCCAATAAGTTCAGACCGTACCCTTCCTCGTCTTCGTCCAGCATTGAGAGGTGGAACCAGAGCCAGTCTTGACTCTTCCGTCATTGTGGTAACCTCGCCGGCTGAGTTAAGATCAACGAGGGACTAGCCCGAGCACAATTTGCATGCTTCTCGTTCCGCTTTGGTCTGCTTGTTTCATTCGATCTTTTCTGCTGCATCAGGACCCTCGACGATGGCACTCGTGATGGCATGGATCGTCCTAATAGATGGCCCCCACTTGGTCACGAGTGAAAATACGGAAGATGAGATGGAGTGAAGCACATTCCTATACAAGGGAGTCGTGAAGCAATATATTCCAAGGATAAGCACTGATTCGACATACAGAATCGCGGCGATCTCTAACACCGTCGGCAGCTCTGCATAGATAGGCATCCCTATTTTCTAACCCAACCAGTCCTTCCATCCCTCTGGGCTCGGGGGTGGCGACTGGACGAGGACTTCGGGCTTGCATAAACAGTGTTCATATGGGTAAACAGCGTGAAGGTTGCTGTGGGCTAATGCCCAACACAAGCTCAGTCGCGGTTCGGTTTCATCAAGTACAGTGCGACGAAACACATTCGTCGTCGAAAACGATGTAATGATCGTTCCCAACTTGGATCGCGCTCGGGGGTTTTTGCTCAAGACGATACAGAAAAAAGTATACAAGGAACACAGTTTTGCCTTAGAGAGCAGAGACTAGAACTCGTTATTCAGGTTGAAGTGACAATGACCGCCTCGCGAACCAAACCCAGGCTGTCGCTTCAGCACGAACGCGCCTGTGCTACTGTGCCGCTCAATTGTTTCCCGCAGCAACTGATATTCAGAACGGATGATGAGAAAATCCACTATTTTCCTCGTTAGACCAAGTGCACGGGCGATGGGGTGAACGTTATCGAGGCAAGTGTAGTGCTAGTGGTCGGGAATGTCGATAGCGATGTCATCTGTAATGTCAAGAGGGATACCGATGTTGGCCTTCAAGACTGTACCGTCTTGGCAAGGCCACTGAAGTCCCCAAGCATGTTTATAGACGTAGTGCAGAGCTTCAGAGGAATTCATGACGGGTGGCGATGTCGAGGCGATGGACGCCGTGCCAGAGAGATCGATATGCAATTCCCCTGGGCCAGTCTTCGTGAACAAGCACGCACACTACGATTAACAGAGGTTAAGAGTGTTGCCAGTCACCCTGTGGATGAGCCCTCGGACGAAGGTAAAGCTAGATGTTCTCTGTTTGAAGTGGTGGTAGCGTGCAGAGGACGGTGTGTTTTGTACGCCACTTGAAAGTTGTACGAGTGGCGGCATGCTTACTTGAGCCAATACGCTTTGGCAGAGACACCAAAATACCGCCCGAACGTTTCTCCTCGCCATCCACGTCAAGCTCGCGTCCCACTCGCTTCTCTCACCCTCGCCCTCTCTTCTCTCTCCCAACCGTCACGACGAACATTATCCAGAAGTAGTGGCCGTCGACGATACCGAGGACGGCAATGCCGGAGTACGTGTACGCTCTTTACGACTTCCTTCCAGAGCACGATAACGAGGTCGAGTTTCATGCGGGAGAGCGGATAGAGTTCGTCGAGAAGGATGATTTGCATGGTGATGGATGGTGGCAGGTCAGAATCCATCCTCTTTTTTTCTTCACTTTTGAGACCATCCAAGTCCTGGCTCGTGTCTTCAGCGCCATTTTTGACGCGCAAGAGCCTGGTGTACGCAGGACGAACTCAATGGCGGAATACCCAGAACATCGCGCCGTTCAGATAGGGGCTGCACGCGTAGACTGGTCGTAGGGTTTTAGGGCGAATGCGACAGGCGATACACCTCGCAGACTCATTGAGGACGAGCCACAGTGCCCACTGTTCATGGCCTCGTACATAAAATGGAGTGCGACCTGTAGTTGCGCTCTTTTTTCTTCCTTTCTTCGTCTCGAGCTCCTTCCCCTTGCTTTCGGGTTGAAGGACTCTTCGTCACCTCCCTCCTCACATTCCCTCACGTTTCGGTATACGAAGAAGGCTGACCTCTTTCTTTCTCCCCTTCCGTGAATCTTCTCCACCCTTCACACAGGGCCGAAACATCCCGGGCAAAGTCGGACTGTTTCCACGATCTTACCGCCCACCCGCCCCTCCACAACAGCCATAATCCTCGCTACCCTCAGCTGCACCCACAGCGACATCTACCGCCAGTGCCTTCCATTTAGCCCCGATCACCGCCTCCACTAGTGGTGCACGGACTCTATCTCCCGAACCCGCCCATCCTCCTACGAGTTCCGGTGGTCTGCATTCCTTAGCAGAAGAATCGGAGAACGAGTCGGTCGCGCCACCGAAAGTTTCGGTATCTTCAGATGGGACCGATGAAGGGGCGGTGATGCGGGAGACGATGACGGATGTGCAGCAGGCGATTGAACAATTGGGTCAGAGGCGGAATAATGGTGCTGGTGGACATACGGATGATGAAGGTCGTTCGTTCACCTTCTCGTCCGTGCGCGAGTCGGAGTCGACGGATCGTGAGTCAGATATCGATATGGAGTTGGAGACGGAGGGTGATGAAGGTACGGATGGAATAACCAGAAGAACGTGCGGAAGAGGTTGGCGAAGAAGGTTAGCCGGGCGAACGAGGAGGAGAGGAGGGAGAGGGAGAGGGAGGCGCAATTGGAGGTGGTGCGGGCGAGGGAGAGAGGGAGCATCATGGCGAGTCATATGGCGCCACCGATTGAAGTAGAGTTGAGTGACGAGAGCGAGGACGAAGGGGACGATGACCATCACCACCATCATCATGGCCATGACCAAGAAGACAAGACGGAGCATGGGAGGGTTGCGAGTCAGAGGTCAAGCTCACAGATGATTCCGGAGGAGGACGAGGACAATCATCTCCTCGCCGTTCCTACCGCAACCCGTGGATCGTTCGGCACTCCTCGAGGCCCAGAGCCAATCGTCCCTAGCGAAGATTATATCGTACCCTCGCCAGGCTCTCATAAGACGGGTTACGAAGAGGTCCCTACCGTCACTCAAGCATCTTTCCCCGTCGCTGCTCCCGCATCCGAACGGACGTCCTCGCCATATCGATCCGGAACGCTTCCTAGTCCAATCTCACCGGGGTTTACGACTGGGACGACTGGGACGACCGCGGGAACCGGGACTGTAACCGATGATACCAGGCCGACGTCTACGCAGCCCTCCGCAGCTTTCTCGAAAACGTTCTCCGTCGGCGATATCGAACCGATCGCTACGCCCATCCCCGTCAGTATTAGTGCCGCCAACGCCACTGGAGAGCCCCCGGCCAGTACCCTCGCCGCCGCTGCCAACCTTCTCCCTTCGCCTGCCGCGTCTTCGGCGATGGGATGTACGACCTCTCCTGTACATAAATCTGGCCTGGCGCTGTCACCTTCGAGTCCAGGGAGCGGAGGTCCGAGGACGGGTGGATCCAGTGGCATAGGCAGTGGACATCCGAGTGACTGGACGGTGGATGAGGTCGTGGAGTGGCTGAGAGCGAAAGGATTTGACGAAGGGGTTTGCGAGAAGTTCATCGGTATGTTTCCCTGCCTTTCTTTTCACTTTTGGGGGGGATTCGCTTTTGTGGCTGACAAGCATGTACTTCGAACCATATAGAGCAAGAAATCACCGGCGACGTTCTTCTTGAACTTCATGTCAATCTCCTCAAATCCGAAATCGGCATCCCAGCCTTTGGCAAACGCATGCGTATCGCCAACGCTATCATGGAACTCCGTCGTCCACCATCCGCTCTCTCTTCCCACCACGACGCCAACTCCCAAATCAACGGTGCTCCCGGTACTGGTAGCAGTCAATTCAACGGCTCTGGCAACAACGGTTTCCGTGGTCACTCCCAGAGCCAGAGCCTCGCGATGTCGCACTCCAGCGCGCCACAGAGCCTGAACAGTCCGTTCATGCTAGCTAGTCCGAATAGCGCGGGATCAGGACCGGCGAGTGTAGGCGGAGGTGTGGTCGTGACTTCAACGGGCAGTCCGATGGCAGTTGTGGGGATGATTCCGGCGGACAGCTTCAGTGCGCCGAATACGGGATTGATGGGCATGGGCGCTGGCGAGTCGCCGATGGGGATGGGATTGGTGAGGAGAGATTCGGATCCGGGTGTTAGAGGACCGGGACAAGGCCAGGACGACGATCAGGTCGGGCTGGGATTGGGTATACCGAGTGCGTTGTTGACGGGGAAGAATAGGGTGAGTTTCGATCTCTCAGCCTGCTCCTTCTACTCCGTGAATGTCATCGGAAAACGCGCTGATTGGTTGATTTGGGACTGTGTTAGAAGGGCCGGCCATCTCAGTTGACGTTGAGTCCAAGCGATAGCGCGCTGGGTGAAAACGTGAAGGCGGTTGCGGGCGGTGCCTACACGGCGGATGAGACGGAAGATGACAGGGCTGTGGCGAGTGAGGTGCGCGCTCTCCTGACTTTTCGCCCCGCAATATCGTCGATTCTAATTACTAATTCCTGTAATGATCGTAGAATGATGGGGACAGGAAGCTCAAGACCCGGAAAAGCATGTTCGGTCGTTCAGGTTCCAAATCGTCCAAAGACGGCGACTCAGCCAAAGATCCCGTTACTCCCAACTCGATCGCTACCCCCCAAGAGGATGGTTCCCCTGTTCAGCGTCGAACGAACGGTAGGAGACAAGGTAGTCTGGATGCGAACAAGGGCAACGACCGATTGAGCATTTTCGGTGGTGCATTCTCTGGATCGTTGAGCAAGTCGAGGAAACCGCCTCCTAGGTACTCGGCGTACGTTTCACTTTCCAAGAAGTTAATAGTTCGTTGATCTTGATTTCGTTACCCTAGGATGGTCGACAATGCGGACCTACAGCATGAGAAGAGCAACCCATTCGCTCTTCTTGGCCGAAGCGGTAAGAAGTCGTCCTCCGGTAGGCCCTCCACGTCCGACGGGCAGTCCACTCACAAGAAGTGCTTCGACCCTGCCGCCACTCCATCGAAGAAGAGCCATAAGGAGAAGGACGAGAAGGCTTCTCGCGACTCCAAAGACTCGAAAGAACGCCTGTCCAAAGAGCAAGCCGTCCTTCGTCGTCGTACATCGTCTCAGGTCTCGAGTCCTACGCGTGGTGGGACTCCTAACGCCGCTGCGTCTGGTGCAGGCGTGGGTACGGGTGTGGGTACGGGTGCTGGTACGGGTGCTGGTGCGGGTGCAACTTCGGGAGGAGAGGGGCAGAAGGCGACGTTAAAGGCAGGCCAGAGTATCTTGCAGCAGATCGGGCAGGCTGATCATAATGGGTGGATGAGGAAGAAGGGCGATAGGTATAACACGTGGAAATCGAGGTATTTCGTGTTGAAGGGGCCACATCTTTATTGGTTGAGGAGTAATTCCGCCTCGGTGCGTACCACTCGTTCTTTTTCGCCCGTCGTTGTTCGAGATGAAGTGCATGCTAATACATAAGATACTGTTCGTGCAGGAGACAAAGATCAAGGGATACCTCAACATCGCTGGATATAAGATCATCACCGACGAGAAGGTCGACCCGGGAAAGTACGGCTTCAAGCTCGTCCAAGAAAACGTCACGACGCACTATTTCAGCAACTCGTCATTCGAGAGTGGATGAAGGCACTCATGAAGGCTACTATCGACCGGGATTACACAAGTACGGTTTCTCTTTCTCTTCCGCCACTGTGGCACCACTGTTACTGACATCTGCACGTAATTTCAGAACCTGTCGTTTCCTCCGTCAATATCCCCACGATTCCTCTTACCGTCGCTCAGGCTATGAACCCAGCCCCAAGGCCACCATCACCTACCGCTCGCGCCGCCACGCAAAAGGCTCTTCGCCGCGAGAACACGAATCAGCTCTCGACTCGTGACGCTCAGATTCTCATGATGGGGGTTTCTGGTGACGCTACGGACAACGGGAGCAAGATGCGCCTCGACTCCTTTTTCGACCAAAGCAACGACACCGCCGGAACTCCAATGCAACGATCGACTCCTGCGCCACTCGGTGCGAGAGCGATGACGCCTAAGGGACCAGCCAAATCGCCGCCGCCTATGAGTGTACCCGCTCCGGCTCCTGCAAGGCCTTCAAGGGAGATGAGAAGGTTGACCAGCGACGGCAGCAATATGAAGATGGATAACGTAGGCCTTCCGCAAGTTGCTATGTTTTCGAGGCTCTAAACCTTTTTTTTCTTTCCTTTTTCGTTCTTCCCATGTAACACCGTCTTCCCTTTCGCCTGCGGAATTTTTGCCCTCCGTGTTTCCCACTCTACATCATGATGATACCCCAAAATCCTATCTTTGAACTTCCCTCTCCACCTCATACTCCAAATAGGTTCCGTCTAGCTCGAATTCGGTCGAAACGAACCTCATCTAATGGGCAAACTCTCACCTCCCTCACTCCCTCCGGATCTCCGAGACTACACCCGGCCCTTTATACGGCGGTCTTGCCATTCTCCGTCTCTCCGAATCGATTAAAGGGCGTCCAGCATCACCTCCCGTGCCCGACTCCGCCTTCCCCTCAGGTCCGAACGATGATAAGCTCGACGGTTTATTCCGGTTGTTCGATTTCCTCCTCGATAACGACGTAAAGATGGGCAGCGTTAGTATCAACGACGTGAGAATGGGAAAGAGAGACAAGATCCTGCAGTTGTTGAAGGCGTTGAAGGCGTGGGAGGATAAGCGAAGGCAAATTGCGGAGAGCATTGGTTCGGGGGCGAGTAGGGCCGTTCATGGCTCCCGTCTCGCCGTGGGGACCGATGTAAGTAGGCGCAGAGATTTTCTGCGGCCATGGACTACTTTGGGTCGATTGGGCTAGTTTCTTGGTTTAGGTTGATGGTGAGAGTGTCCGAAATATTCTTCTTGGCTTTCTCTTGACCTTTGTGGTAGAAGTTTCTGGCATATACTCGAGTCTCAGTCACACTCAATCGCACGCTCGTTCTATCTCTGTCTTGATTTCTCTTCATCTCACTCCGTTTTCCCTTCCTCTCGTTCGTTTCTGATCTCCCCTTTTTTGGTCGTCTTACTTCATACATCTCCTCCCATCTTCCCTCATACATTTCCCTCCGCTCTCCTTTTTCTTATGTGAACTACCCCCATCCTCACTTCGTCCTATTCATTACACTCTGCTTTCCGTTCCTCTCCTCTCCTTCCTCTCCGTCTCCTTTCTCGTCTATCTCCTCACCTCTGTTTGCGTGGTTATAATCACGCATTACTATAGCACTAGGAGCTCGATAACGGGCATCTGTACGGACTTTTCATTTGTGTATCACTTATCCCCTTCGGCACTCTTTTCTTGTAAGTTTCGTTTGCTGTTGCCCATTTATCACCTCCACAACAACATCGGCCTTCGTGATAGCCTGGATAACTTGAATATAGTCGTACATATCTGCACTCATCGTAAATAGAACTGTGTGTTTTTTGACCCTCAGGAGCTGCACACCAATGATTTCGCCACACAAAAGTGGCGTTGAGGAAAGGTGTGACATGTGAATCCGGGACGGAGCGCTATCGAGCGTTTGTACGTGGGAAAGAAGCGCCTTGTCACGGCCACATGGCGAACGTGGTAGTAGAATACTTAGATACTTCCGTAGTCCTTCACGTTGACTAGACGTGCTCTCCAGTTCGCGCTTGTAATATTATGCCATAGAGCTCTACCGTATCCTCAAAGATATAGAGAAAACAATATGAGCTCTCATCAAATGAACCTCGAAGGCTTTGCTCCTGAGAATGCACTCATGCCTCCGCCCTCTCAAAGCCCGGATACCCCAGTCGAAGCCGTTGCGTTCCAAAACAATGCTTCCCTTCAACAGACGTAGTACGACGTGCCATTCCAACCAAAAAGCAAGCCTGCTTCCCAAGAAGTCCGAGTAACTCATTCACAAGACCCTGCACAGAGCAGTCCAAGAAGTTCGAATCGCACATCCTCTACATGCTTCCCCACTTAGGCCTCTATCTGAATCCTGCCCCATCTTCGCTAACCAACACCACCAACACCACCTCCATATCCTGCTTCATGTTGCTGTGAAGAAGTTGAAATCTTCCATACCGAATAAGTTCAGCATTGGCTGTTCTCCCGGCTACGAAAATGGAATGCGAAATAAGTCAGAGAGCGAACGGAGTGAGAACGATGGGTAAACTTGCCGGCACTGTACTGACATCCATAGACTTGGACGGAGACGACGGCCACTCTTCCCATAAATTCCAAATGTCGGGAATCGAAATTTCTTGGACTTCTTGTTCGACCGTGGGTTGGCGCTGGTTGGCATGAATGACGGTTGGAACAACCCCGTAGGAGCAGGCATCTTTGTTTGCTAACACTGTTTCTTCGCTAGTGGGTGTCGTGACCAGATGCGGTGTATTGGATCCGGGAGTGACGTGCATAGGAGGGGTTGGAAGGGTGGAAGAGGAATATCTTGCTATACGTTCGATTGCGCGTCCGCATGACGAATTAGGTAGTGGTGCATGAGTGGGGAGAGGTGCCATCGGAGCTGGCGGAGGAATTCGTTCTGCGTCGGAGTCAGGCCCCACTTGAACTTGTTGATGCCGTCGCACACCTGCAGCCTCCAACATCCGCATCGCCACAGTCAGCATGCCGGGAACCTTCTGCTCTATCGCACGCATCACCATCGTCAAAGTTGAGAGGACAACAGCTTCCTTCATCGAGGAGTCCCGAGCGGCAGCTTGCTGGAGCATCGCAATTACGTTCAAGATATCCACCGGGTCTTCGACATGCTATGGATCGTTTGCGGCATCAACGTGTCTATCCAATGTACGAGTAGAACGGGGCAACATATAACGCACCTCAGACACCACAGCTGTCTCCTCCGACGCCGCAGCTGTCTCAGGTTCCGACGCCACAGCCATTTCCTCCGACATTTTCTTGGTACTCGCTGTCTTTCCCTTCTTCGGCGGCCTCTTCGTGAATATTATTGATGACTCAAGCTCTTCACCGTCGTGCTGCTTTATAAACTGTATCAACATGGAATCCTGTGCATGGTTCCTCACTGCGAGTTGTTCAAAGAGATCTTGGCTCACCTCCGTTGTAGAGACGGTACTCTCGCCCCTCGAAGCGTCACTGGAAGAAAAGTCCGCAATACATCAAAGACGAAGCAATTAAAAATAGTGGACATCCAGTACTTTGAAATACCACTAACCTCAGCAATATGCACGGTATTCCCGCCTTGGAGCAGAATTCACATGCACACTCGCCATTGTCTCCTTTCCCGTCGCACCTCCTCTTCCTCTTCCTGCATGCCTCACATGAGGCATTATACCTTCTCTTTCCAGCTCGGGGACTCCTTCTTGGATGATTTGTGACAGGCATTGCGAGCAAAGTACAGTGAGGACGTGAACAAGAATGAGTATGTCGACAACGAGCCTAAGGTGATTCAGGAGTTCTGACGGTTGTGTATCCATGTTTACGCGTTGTTATCCACAGAATATGGAGCGATGATCCTTGGAAGGATGGGGCATGATCTAGGAACATATTGTCCGGCAGCTCGGACTATCGAAGCCAGGTGGCCCAGCTTCATAGGTTTTTCTGCTAGACTCCTGTCAAAAAGACGAGATAATGAAAGTAAGCAGCATTCATTATCATGTCTGAAGGAGCATAAGTGGCGCTCCTTCGATACTGGGCTGGGTCTTGATGCATTTTGTTGCCCGCTGTTGTGGCGATATTGGTATTCTTAGCGAGATCTGGCGCTGGTATTCGGCGTATAACACTGCCCAAGGAAGCCGTCTCTAGGTAAACTTAGTCAACCGGCCGGACTCCGTTTGACATTCTAAGATTCTCCTAGGTTTAGCAAGGCAGCCCTCCTACGCACTCTCTGTTATTTCCACTATATTTATCTCCAAAGCAGATCCCACTACTGGATGTACAACGTTCGACATCGTAGATGCAGAAGAACGACCTTTCGTCATAGCATGCATTTCTGAGTACTGGTTGACTTCTCGTGGCCATCTACGACAGGGCGTAAACCAGATGGTGACAATGCCGAAGTTCGGTTGATGTTGAACCATCACGTCACGCCCGGGGTCGACGCGACCTCGTCCTCCTGTCCATGACCCGGATCTGAAAAGTGGCCTAGAGGTGGATGACTTCCCATCGTATTTGGGTGGAAGCCTAAAAGCCAGAGCGGAGAAGGAAATACGATAGAAATCAGTCTCGAGAAAAGTCCTAAACCGTCGCTGCGAGGTTGTAGCGACGATTCACTTCTTCGCAGCATGCTCAGATCAAACGGAACGTGAATGCGGCAGAGGTGTGCGCACGCGAAAAGCGTTCGGAGTCCAAAATATTTGGTCTGCGATGAGCGGTTTAGGCAATGGGATGTAGATAGAGACAGGGGAGAGAGGGTGACAGAGGCCGATCATTATGATGTAGTAGTGTCTACCTGGGGTAGGCGAGGAATAGAGATAGAGAAGAAGCAGGGAATTTAAAGAGTCTGTATTGGATGGAGCCAGGTCGGTGTTTGTATGGTAGTGAAGTAGGCGAGGCGGAGTGGAATGGAGTAGGAAAAGGAAGGGGGCAAGTGACGGTCGTGGCGGATAGGAGTGAAAACCATACTTGATATGCGCAGGCTCTCCACTCCCCAGCCACTCCTTAAAAATATGCAGGCTGTTTACCCAACGACGTCCCCGGTCCGCTTTTCGTCATAGCTTCATCCTCTTTCACCCGTTTGATGAATACATCACGCCTGCCGGCCGTAGTGAACACTTTATCGAATGGCAAGAACAAAAAAACAGAGACTACAGAGGAGAGGAGCTCGTATTGTTTTTGCCGGCTGATTAGACATAGTTAAATGAGACGATACGAAAAGGGGAACAGAGGGAACGGGACGACAACATACTATGACTGGATTTCCAGCCCCAGCCTTGCTTTCTCAGCGAGGCTGTCGAGTGTCTCGTATTCTTTTGGGATTTCGAACATGTATGCTATCCACGGATGATCCTCTAAAGAAAATCAAGCGTTCGGTGTCAGCATTTCACCGTATATGTACTGGATAACGGTAAGAGAAAGGGGGGAGAAGCGTAGAGATTACGGAGTTCTTCACCCACGGGTAACTCCACGGTCTGTTCTATCCCGAACCTATCCAGAATTTCTTTCTTGTCGATACCTGGCGCAAACATACACGGCGTCAGCCAAATAAACGATCAAGTGAGAAGCTGATGCAGAGAATGGAGTAAATTAGGACGCAAGGGAAGAGTGAAAGAAAGTAGTGTGGGGGGAACGAGACGTAGGTGTACAGCCTCGGGAGCAAGAAAAATACAAACGAACACAAGAAAGGAATGACAGATAAAGGGGCGAAAGAAGAGATACGCACTGCTTAACTCCAACGACCCCGGCGTCTGATAACTCTCCACGCACAGAATGACCTCCCTCGTCGCTCTGATCACCCCCTGTCCCTCTATCGTCCTGCCCTTCCTTGTCAATCTTGAACACTTCGACTCCGACCACTCTCGGTTTACCACCATTGAAAGTATCGAAGGTGATCCGGGTAGCTTACTTCCACGGAGTAAGGACGAGGTTGGGCCGGGCGGAGGGTGCGTAACATCCCTGTATACAGCACACCACCAATAGTACTCGTAGCAGTGGCAGGGTCAGCGACGAAGACGGGACGAGAATGGGAAGAGCGAAGACGAACCGTAACAGCATAACTCCTCATCGGCATTTCCGGATCAGAATTGAAGGTCCCCGTATACACACCATAATCACCCCCGTCTACCTATTATCTGCGCTGCGCTGACTAACAACGGGACGTGTAACGGATGGAAATATTGCACGAACGATTTCTTGACGAGGCTACGCGAGCGACTTTGCTCCAGCGTCGAAGCCGACTGGCAGCGATCGAGAGGCATAAGGACTCCGGTATAAATAATGATGAGCTGAGGTCGGCAGGTGAAAAATCCGAGGGAAAACAGTGCGTGTATCTAGCTAGAGGGATAGGGCGTTGAGTGGCGTGCGAAGCACGTTTGCATGTTCTTGTTAGGCAATATCGTTATGCATAGGAAGATCTGGCGCTGCTGTCAGGAACACTGCCTAGGTTCGGATATCCGACTGTTTCCTGGATTTTCCTAGGTTTGGCGAAGCAGCCCCCGATGTACGAAGGGCGCGCAGTCACGCTGTGCCGTGTTTTCAACTTCGACGGTTGCTTTACAGTCTGTCCGCCTGGATGACTTCTTAAAGAGCGACGACGAAGCACGTCATCGGTCTCCATCTACGCTTCGCCAAAATACGCGTTAAGTACCTCGAGATCTGTACAGAGCTGGCTGCTAGATGGACGAGGATGTAGGATTAGTTCAAGTGAATAAGCAATGAGGGAGGGCCGTAGGAGAGGGTGAAGTGCGAAGGATCCAGAAACAAGACGTACACGCATGAAA